CAGTATTTACAGCAGCTGATATCTACTAGCTAGCTTTAGTTCTCAAACAGAGAGATGTGATCAGGGTGCAGAGTCATTTTTCAGTTTGTCGCCCTCGTTGAGGGGCTCTCTAGGTCCATTTCAAGTTGGCTACAGTTAGCTTAAGGTTATCCATTCTGAATTACCACAGACAGTAAACAGAGATCTAAACAGTTTAAGCAACTTTTTAGCCAAACAAAGCAAGAATGTATGCGGGTAAATACAGCGCCTCCCTCCCAGAATGGTGCCCTTGTCCCAACACTGAACACGGCAGGACGTACCATCACACTGTCTATAATGCCTGTAAACACTAACTGACTGGCGCACTCAATCACCACATATCAATGTGAAGAAAAGACTTCCATATGCATCACTAAATTGATGAGATTATTAAGCAACTGTTGAGTTGGTCAAGGAAATCAATTTCAGAATTGTGTCCGTTTATCTAAATCACAGTTTCCCAGTCTACTGGAATGATCTTTGTCTGGGTTAATGTGATCTTTTCACCCTGCTGCAGCTAGATGAACAGGCACAGTCACTGCTCACTCACAGTGGAAATTCGCTGACCAACAAATATACATACATATCTAAATAATCTTTATTATCTAATTTGTGCACATGACTACAAATATGCAAGCAATGCATTTTGCATAGGGACAGGCTGAATAGTTATAAAGGCTAAAAACCTTTTAAAAAATAACCTAACAGTTAACAGCCTAAGCCAGTCACCCTGTCTGAACTAAACATTCCTAGACAACAAATCTCTGAATATCTGTCTAACTAAAAAATAACCCAACAACTCAATCACCACATATCAATGTGAAGAAAAGACTTCCATATGCATCACTAAATTGATGAGATTATTAAGCAACTGTTGAGTTGGTCAAGGAAATCAATTTCAGAATTGTGTCCGTTTATCTAAATCACAGTTTCCCAGTCTACTGGAATGATCTTTGTCTGGGTTAATGTGATCTTTTCACCCTGCTGCAGCTAGATGAACAGGCACAGTCACTGCTCACTCACAGTGGAAATTCGCTGACCAACAAATATACATACATATCTAAATAATCTTTATTATCTAATTTGTGCACATGACTACAAATATGCAAGCAATGCATTTTGCATAGGGACTTGCTCCATTGCTGATTTATGTTTAGTTACACAAGCAGCATGGTTGGTGAGACCATTTGGTTTTGTACAGACTAAAATACATGAACAACTTTTAGATAATTTAGCAAGACTTTGGGTTTTAGTGAAACATTTTGACAACTATTAGATGGAGTGTCCTGAAATTTGGTACAGCCATTTATGGTGCCAAAATGATGAATCCTAAATTTTCTTTTCCTGCCATAATGGGGTTGTCAGTTAAGTTTCAAGAGCTATAGGATAGATTGTCATAAAATTTGAACATTCACATCACCCTCAGAATGAATTATAGTAACTGATGAACCCCTTACATTACCTCTAGTGCCATCATTGGGTTAAAATGTATAGGTATTATGCTAATGTTTAGAAAATGTTTGGATGCTAAAATGCTAACAAACTGTTAGTCCTATTAATATTAATATGCTCTCACCTAAAATATAAAGAATAAGTGACCTTAATACCTTCTGCATCAATTCCTTCAGCACAAACTACTCCAGTTGCATGATGGATACAAGGACAAGCTACTACAGTAAATTGAGAGCTGTCTTTCATCTAAATAAAAACAACCCCATTATCTTAATTACACATCTTTGGTCTATTAGGATTTTAAGAAGAGTTATGGCTCAACACCTCACTGCTCCATTCAGTCTCAGCACTTTGAGGTGCCATCACATTGACTTACAGATTTCCACACTCAGCAGCACCAGGCTGTCTGCTCCACACTGGAGATTGCTGCCCTCGGGTCTGGTGGATAAAACACACTGGACATTGGACAACTGTCTCTAGTAATGAGACTCACAGAGAACAAACTAAGAAAACAAGTCAATACAAATGATGAGCAGGAAGACTTACAAGACCTCACACAATTTTCCCCTATTTTGGCACCATTAGATGTGTGATTTATTGAGTAAGATGACATTTTGTCAGTATCACCCTAAGGAACCCAACTGGACTATGGCAGCACATTTAATAATACTAATACTAATACTACTACTAATAAAAAGAGAAATGACCAGTATAATTTCTTTGTTTATGCTGGTTTCATTCTAATCCTTTTACCCTTAAAGTTTCTCCCTCCATAAAGATACTTTCATATTCCTGTGATTTTTATCCTAAAGCAAGACAGCAACAACAATTTGCTGAAGAGCTATTCAAGATTTAAGCAAGGTTAAAGGATTATTTCACCAATATAAAAAAACATGTTTCTAAATTGTACATTTGATTTTAATTGGCTCTCTCTCCAGAGACAATGCCCTGGCTAATCCACAGACCTCCCTGTCAGTAGTGTTAATTGGAAATGTTACCTCAGTAGAAAGCACTATTTTTTTGTGTTTGTGTTTTGCTGAACTGACTCTACAAACACTATCTGCTGGACATTAACAAGAGCTGAAGGTGAACAAGTCTGGATGCTGCACTAACTTGTCTGAGGGCATGTGGAAAAATTTGTGTTCATATAATCAGTCCCAGCCTTAATCTGATTTGATAAGTGAGTCCTGCTGGGTGAGGAGAGAGCCGCACCCTGCTGGCTGCAGCCTCGAGCTGCTGTCACACACTCAGTGTGAAATCTCTGAGAAGCTTGTAATGAGGTCTCCCAAGTCCCTTTCTTTTCTGTCTCTTATAGAGTGTGCTAGGAAATGCACAAATGCAAACCTGGCAGTGTGTACCTTGGGGAATCAAGATATGCTAAGTAAATAAAAATAACTACTTTATCTTGCACTGAGACCTAGGTCCCTTTATCCAGAAGCAGAACACAGTGTAACTATATTAATAATAGATATAGATTTCTACAATACCCAGAAATGTAATAGGTTAAATATAGGCATGAGTGTGTGTCTGACAAATCTGGATCAATATTCCATTAAAAGTAAGGTTAACAAGGAGTGGACAAAATAATAAAAACACCTCAATCAGCTTGGTTGACACTGCAGACTTTTTTTTTTATCTGAATTTGCAGCTGCTGCAAGTGTCTTTCAGTCCCTCTCCCTGTCTTTGACAGGACATTTTCCTCTTATCATATACATTTACAGTTTGCAACAGCAGATGTGTAGTTTCTTTTAGTCCTATACACTACATGTACCATTAATCAGATTGTCTGCTGTGGTCATCTTAATTGATAGAGAAAACAAATGTAGTTTTTGTTCATGCTTGTTTTTCATCAGTTGTTTTTAGGACTGGGAAACATTTGTGTGCTATTATTTCAATAAAGAAAAGACATCTACAAAAAATTTACCCAATTTGAAATTATA